GGCTCGCTCGGGAAGCTGAGGCGGCGGAGGCTGGAGTAGGCGGAGAGGCGGGAGGAGGGCCTCGCGCCTCTGCAAGGCTTGCCGCGGGACCCGCCTCCTCCGCGCCTCTCCTTGACTCCTATTGGCTAGAGCCGTAATGTGGACGGAAACCTGGTAGTTGATTGGACTCTCGGGCCGTCACATCCCGCGCTGCCCACCCAGAGGTTTGGTTGAGACTGCAGGTGGCGGCGGAGGTGCCTTAGAGATTGCTAGCAGGGCCGGAGGAGACCGGGGCGCCACCATCCGCCGGAAAGTAGGAACTGCACCCCCGGCGCCAGACACCTGCCCCAGGTTCTCCTGGCTGTAAGTCCTGCATCCCACACACCTGCTGGCGCCCCCATACCTCTGCACCGCTCCAGGACCGAAAGCAAGCCTGAAATATCCCAGTTTCCTCTAGCAAGTGCGACAGTGAGGCAACTCTCACAAACGTGCTTCCTTTAAGCCACCTCGAATGCGATCCCTGTCCCTACATCTTGCTGAAATTGTCTCACAGCTCACAGCTACTCCTCAAATAGGATCCAGCAAGAAACTGTAAGAATCCACAAAATAATGCATGGTTTGGCTGCTCAATCCTCTGCAGAAAAGATCACTAGCTTGAGTGCAGGCTTTTAAGAAAGAGATTTTTTTTTAATTACAATGAAAGAAAAATCAACACTGCAAACAGAACCGATGCCATACTAAAAGCAACGTGTTCCATTTTGAAAGGCCTGAACAAATTTGATCCCTGAGTGTGAGCTAGCCATCCTGATTCTATGACCAGTACAAATTCTACACCAATTAATCAATTTTAAAATAAGTTTTACTCTATTTTTGACAGACAAGCATGCAAAACTCCCTGTCATAAGCATAATTGGCCTTCGTCTTCTGCTTTAACAAAGCCATCCTTGAAAATAAGACTCAGCTCATTAACATATTATAAAATTCTTGAAGGTGGGAAGGCCTCTCTAAATCTCTACTCCCGTGTGCATTTGTTTGGTAAATTCTTAGCATCTGTTCAGAGTTGGGAGGAGGCATAAAACTTTCTGTTAAGCCACTTCCATTTTATTAGAACATCTTTTATGCCTCAATAATATGACAGCCTCGAGTAGTACATGTCAACATTGGTTTGGGGAGAATCTCTCATCGATTTCCATAAATGGCAAAAATTAGACTCGTTTTTCACAAAACCAAATGTATTTAGTGTAAAGATCTGTCTTTCCTTTGGAGATGGTCCTTCCTACATTTTTAAGGGTAAAATGACTTTCCATTTGTGAAGTAATACTGATGGTAAATTGTAGTGGGATTTGAAAAATTGCTTTGACAAGGAAAAAATTGTCAAATCTGTTGGTCCCCCAAATTAGTATTGTATGTAATCCTAAAGTCACAGAACCACAAATCACCTCAATCTCAACCAAGTTTCCACCCCTATTATCAAGCCAGAGAGAGGAAAGAACTCCAGAATAATTTGTGTCAGATGCAGGGGGATCATAAACTCACTAGGGAAGTAATCTTGAAATACATTTATTACATTCCTTATTAAAAATCCAGGCCAGGCCGGGCGCGGTGGCTCAAGCCTGTAATCCCAGCACTTTGGGAGGCCAAGGCGGGTGGATCACGAGGTCGAAAGATCGAGACCATCCTGGTCAACATGGTGAAACCCCGTCTCTACTAAAAATACAAAAAAACTAGCTGGGCGTGGTGGTGCATGCCTGTAATCCCAGCTACTTAGGAGGCTGAGGCAGGAGAATTGCCTGAGCCCAGGAGGCGGAGGTTGCGGTGAGCCGAGATCGCGCCATTGCACTCCAGCCTGGGTAACAAGAGCGAAACTCCGTTTCAAAAAAAAAAGAAAAAAAAAGAAAAAAAATCCAGGCCGGACATGGTGGCTCACGCCTGTAAACCCAGCACTTTGGGAGGTCAAGGTGGAAGGATCACTTGAGGTAGGGAGTTTGAGACCAGCCTGACCAACATAGAGAAACCCCATCTCTACTAAGAATACAAAACTAGCTGAGCATCATGGCACATTCTTGTAATCCCAGCTACTAGGGAGGCTGAGGCGGAGGTTGCAATGAGCCAAGATTGCACCATTGCACTCCTGCCTGAGCAACAAGAGCAAAACTCCGTTTAAAAAAAAAAAAAAATGCACTTCTTGCTTTTTAGCGTAATTGACCAATCCTCACTGCTATGTGGCAGATACTGTCAATAGAACAGAAGCTATTCATTTCTTATGCTTTCCCAAAAAGTATTGAGTCTTCACATTGCATCCAAATGATCTCTGCTTTTTACTCTGTAAGACATACAAATCCTATCATTCCAGTCCACATTTCACACTTCCTCTTTTATCTTCCCCAATTACTCAATCCTACATCAAACATTTCCTTCTCCAAATTTATTGTACGTAAAAAATCTACACTATGTTAACCATTAGACATTGCCTTGGGTTATTCTTCCCAACTACAATGAATCTGAACAAATGGTGTATGCGTATGAGCCCTTAAAAAAAGGCAGCTTTGGGCCAGATACTGGGTGCTTTGTGTGTGCTATTTTTGATACTGAGATTAACCTTGTCTGATAGTCTCTTATTTTAGACACAGAAATTTAAGATTCAGAAAATTCAGTTTATTCAGGGTCACACAGCTACAATAACCAATACTGCTTAAAATAGAGGGCTAAAGATACACTCTGATGTGCCCTCCAGGGATTCAAGTTCCAGCTTTCCTGTGCAACCTTAGACAAGTCACCTATCCTTTCTAAGCCTATTTCCTCATCTGGGGGAAAAAAGAAGAAAAATAGGTTCTACGGAAAGATGAACAAAATTTGTTTTTAAAGTTTGGGCTGGGCACAATGGCTTATGCTTGTAATCTCAGTGCTTTAAGAGACCGAGATGGGAGATTTCTTCAGCCCAGGGCTTCAAGACTAGTCTGGGCAACATAGGAAGACCCCATCTCTACTAAGAAAAAATAAAAGCTGGCCGGGCGCGGTGGCTCAAGCCTGTAATCCCAGCACTTTGGGAGGCCGAGGCGGGTGGATCACGAGGTCGAGAGATCGAGACCATCCTGGTCAACATGGTGAAACCCCGTCTCTACTAAAGGTGCAAAAAATTAGCTGGGCATGGTGGCGTGTGCCTGTAATCCCAGCTACTTAGGAGGCTGAGGCAGGAGAATTGCCTGAGCCCAGGAGGCGGAGGTTGCGGTGAGCCGAGATCGCGCCATTGCACTCCAGCCTGGGTAACAAGAGCGAAACTCCGTCTCAAAAAAAAAAAAAAAAAAGAAAAGAAGGCCGGGCGCGGTGGCTCAGGCCTGTAATCCCAGCACTTTGGGAGGCCGAGGCGGGTGGATCACGAGGTCGAAAGATCGAGACCATCCTGGTCAACATGGTGAAACCCCGTCTCTACTAAAAATACAATAAAACTAGCTGGGCATGGTGGCGCGTGCCTGTAATCCCAGCTACTCAGGAGGCTGAGGCAGGAGAATTGCCTGAACCCAGGAGGCGGAGGTTGCGGTGAGCCGAGATCGTGCCATTGCACTCCAGCCTGGGTAACAAGGGCGAAACTCCGTCTCAAAAAAAAAAAAAAAAAAAAAAAAAGAAAAGAAAAAAGAAAAGCTAAAAATAATAAAGGTAATATAGTCATAGGCTCATAGCAAGGGCATCACAAAATAGAGAATGCAACAATTTAGCTACATATGCTGAATACAGGTTAGCTGCTATTACTGCATGGCAGAGCTGGATTTTCACCTAGATCTGATCCCAAAGCCTGTACTATTCCATAATGCCTCCATGAGGACTTTTTTTTTTTTTTGAGACGGAGTCTCTGTCACCAGGCTGGAGTACAGTGGCTCGATCTTGGCTCACTGCAACCTCCACCTCCCAGGTTCAAGTGATTCTCCTGCCTCAGCCTCCTGAGTAGCTGGAACTACAGGCACATGCCACCACAGCCAGCTAAATTTTGTATTTCTAGTAGAGATGGGGTTTCACCACGTTGGCCAGGAGACAGTCTTGATCTTTTGACCTTGTGATCTGCTGCCTTGGCCTCCCAGTGTTGGGATTACAGGTGTGAGCCACTGTGCCCGGCCCATGCAGTCTTTTATAACCCCCCATTTAAATACAAAAGCAAAGTGCTGCTGAGCATAGTGGGTGCCTAGGGATTGAGTGGAGTATGCTTATATAGTAAGTATTTTTGTTGACAACACAAAAGAAATCTATAAATGTCATACATTTTTGAATTAAGAAAACATTTGAATGATCTGAGCCAGCATAAGCCTACTCTCATGAGGGTAAGAAAGGCACAAATTCACCAATAGATTGACAGGGAAATAGAAAACTAACAGGAGGGGAATGCAGAACCAACCTTCCCCAAGCATCTAGTGTGTCTGGCATCATGCTAGGGGACTTTCCAAATGTTTCTTTTTGGTGGTTTACTACTGCCTATTTCATCAGCATTACTGCACACTGTAAATACACATTTGAAAGAGTTGTGATGATCTCATGAAGCATAGTTCTGGGCACTGGATCAAGGTTGTAACAGTAAACATTGCCTTTAAAGAATTGGAACAGTGGGGCCGGGCGCGGTGGCTCAAGCCTGTAATCCCAGCACTTTGGGAGGCCGAGGTGGGTGGATCACGAGGTCAAGAGATCGAGACCATCCTGGTCAACATGGTGAAACCCCGTCTCTACTAAAAACACAAAAAATTAGCTGAGCATGGTGGTGCACACCTGTAATCCCAGCTACTCAGGAGGCTGAGGAAGGAGACTTGCCTGAACCCAGGAGGCAGAGGTTGCAGTGAGCGGAGATCGCGCCATTGCACTCCAGCCTAGGTAACAAGAGCGAAACTCCGTCTCAAAAAAAAAGAATTGGAACACTTAGCAGAGTCAAAGTTTCACTGTTGTTTACCAGTCAAGCAACCACATGGAGGAATAAGCATTTTTTAATTTCTTATATAAAATGCTAACTTCTCATCAGGACATACTACAGACTATGCATTAAATTTTTTGAGAAACCTCCTAGAATCTTTTTATTAATTTACACTGAGGGAATAGAGCACCTTTCATCCAAAGAACTGAAGGTGCTTTACAAACGTTAGCATTTAAAAAACAATTACATTTAAAAAATCTGTATTCTTGCTGTTAAATCTCTTCGACTCCAGATACAGAATTTCCTGGAAGCTGATAGAAACCGATTCTATTTCTGACAATGAAAGAGGCTCAGAAAGAGTCCTGATTTGCTTTCACAATACAGGCATTTTCCAAAACCTGGTGCTGGGCTTACAAAGCAAACACACACAAATCTTAATGCAATGAACAATATTTCAAACCGTATTTCCAAAGCAAAACCTAGGGCTTAAGACGTCAAAATCTTCCAACAGTTCTAGACATCCAGACAGAACAGGAGCTGATGCAGGTTGCACATGAGATATACTGCTGATCCGGGCATTTTGGGATCACACCCAAATGAACATAAAGTAGTGAAACTTTCTGGGGTAACACATTAACTTATAAAAAACTGGCCAAAAGCATATCGGCCATATGAGGAAAGGGAGTAAATGGCAATTCAAAGTAGACAGTTCTCACTAGAGCCTAGGGCACTTTATTAGAAACCAAGTATATCATAGGCAAATAAAAATAGTTCTTACCCCCACTGATACAACATAAGGGATTTTACATTCAGCCTAGATACGGGGAGTAACAAATCCTCCTGCCCATAAATCTATGACTTGCAAGTATCTTCCACCACATGATTACTCTATATAGTACATAGCCCTTATTTATTAGAGGCATCCAAAATATTCCTTGCAGGCTCACAAAGTCCAATACATTTGCCCTCTCTTCCCTTTACAAGTCTAATAGTAAAAACTATTTTTTCCATGCAAAAAGCCATTATTCAGTTGAAGAGAAATCAGGCAAAACAGAGATGGCAGTTAAGGAACGGAGAGAATATTATTGGCACGTGCCCAACTAGTGACAAACAAATGCAGTACACAAGGACTTAAAAATAAAAGTCACATTACAGGGATAACAAAAACTACATCAATCCAAGCTAAGGAGTGTCCAACAGGAAGGGAGGGCTGGGAGTTACCAGTCCTATTGGTACAATTTAACTGGAAAGCAAGCACTTAAATACAATTTATGGTAACAGTAAAAAAAAATACTGCAGAGAGCTGTTCAAAGACTGCACCAAGTTGTCTGCATCATTAATTTCCAGTGTTTCACAATTAGTAAAATACATAGCTACATATCCCTGTAAGATAAAAATACCTTTCCACCTGAATTACACCGGGGTCAGGGCGGTAACACGAAGCTACTGACCCAACATTAGTTCAAGTGTGTGCAGTAAGTCTTAGCCACCTCTTTCATATATCTACATAATTAAAAACTATGTAAGGAGCTTGGTGGTTTGAAGGGAAAAAATAAAATCAAAACATTTTGTGCTCATTTAATAAAAGAAAACCCTGATGAAAAATTATATGCCAAGAAGCTTAGACTAAAAAGATTTTTATTGCATTTTTAGGTAACCTGGAAGTTCTTATCCTGAAGGGGAACAGTTGGTTTTCAAAACTACCTGAACAGATGCTAAAGTGCTTTATTAATTGGCTGGCTTCACGAGTATTTCCTGGAATGACAAAAATTAATTATAGTAAAGGGATACCAACTATTTCACAAAATGGTACATTCCAACATCATTTATGACTACAGTCATAAGAGATACTGGAATATTTGTCCTTATTAAGTGGACAGTTGCATATTAAGAACTGATCATCACAACCCTTTGGATATTCAAATTACTTTCACAAAGCTGAAATATGGTATCACAGACCTTTACAAAAAAGGACAACTTGTTTCTTTTTCCACACTTTAAATAAACTGCTTCAGATTACAGTTCACAAATACAAGAGTCCTGACTTTTCAACCTTTCCAGTTGCAGTTAAAAAAATCACTTTCTAAAAGTTAAGGTCAAGTGTTACATTACAGCAAGAGAATTATTCCTATTGAAAAGTACATAGATTTTACTTAATGATACTCATGATAGATTGTAAACTGGATTGATCACATTCTACTCAACTGGTATCAAATTAACACATCAGCATTACAAGTATTAAATGTTTTTCTATTACTATAGAGGATATAAACCAAAACATTAATATGGCAGTTATGTTCTTTAGGCACAGTTTAGTGATTTTTTTTTAAATAAAAACTATTGAATTTCAATTGAAGTTTTAAACTCAACAACCAAAGGGTCAAAAACTCTGATTAGGAAAAAAGAAATAACTTTACACTAACAATGTAAGCTGTTTAAAATTTCTAACACTTAACCTATCTGAGTTTTATTTAAGATTATTTTATTAAAAAATACAAGGAATCTGAAAAAAGATCAATACAATTATCTTAATGTACAAAGTCATAAGCTGTAGCAGTTTTTAACTAAAATTTAAAAACACAACAAGGAGGGCAGCCCTTTAGACCAATTTATTTTATATCCATTTAAAATATCATCCAACAAAGGACAATGAAGTTTACATCTGGGACAGGTATACATAACTTGAGGCATCTGGAGTCCATCGTGCCCACTGAATAACAACTTTGCTGCTGAAATTTCTTAAAATTTACCAAACTAAAACAAAAGGCTGAATGATACAAAAGGAGGAGTATTTAGGTATAATCTGTCAATTGGCTTTTTAAAAAAGGAAACACATCCTGTTTCCCAGATCAGTAAATAAGCAAGAGCTACATGCAGCACTGTGAGTATTAAGACATTTCTCAAGTCTTTTCAAATGAGTCCAGGGTGGGGATGGGATGGGGGAAAATTGATAGAAAAACTTTGCTATAGACACCACAACAAACAATAAATTTAGATAATTTAAAAAAAAAAAAGGCAAGAGGCAGCATTTCAGCAGCAAAGTGCTCAATAAAAAGTATATTGTAGAGGGTAATACAAGAAAATTGGGGTAAGAATAGGGCAGAAAAATGGGTCAGCAGGATGGGCGAAGGCCTCAAAGGAAATACGGCGTTGTCGTTCTGGGAGGAATAACACGTTCTGAATCTGGAACTGCCCGGAATAACTTTGGTTCTCTTGTATTTACATCTTTGAAGACCATGATCGAAGCAATATTTCCACAACGATAGCAGTAATTAGGAGCAGACCAGACTGTCACCAGCTTCTCATCAAACATAAATTTATAGCCTTCGTGCACTAGTTGATGTGCTCTGCAGATGAGTTTTAAGTTGTTGATATGAACAAACTGCAATTTAGAAAGGCACTGTAAGTATTTAGCACTTAAAAAACAATCAGCCTACATACATAGGAAAATAATCATTTAAATAAAGTACCAAATCCTATTACTACTAAAGGTACCATGATTATAGAACCCACTCTATAATTATCCCCAATAATTTAATAAGTTTAGGTAAACAGAGCAATTTTGGCTTGAGTCAATTGCACGGTTACTGTGTAACTCGTTAGAAATAACTGGTTAGAAATTTCTCAAAGAGAAAGCATTCAATAAGTACTATAAAACAAAATTCTGTGTTTTCTGATTTAATAAAGATATTGCTAAATATCATTTACTGAAAGTTTAGTATATGCAGATATTGCCATAATTCTCAAAGAGATTATTCTTTCGCAACTTAAGGAAACAAAAGCTCAGGCTAGATAAATAACTTATCTAAATTAAGACACACTGGTGGGATTAGAACCCAGTTTTCTGACTTCATTATGAGACTGCAGCGCTTCCCAATATAAGGTCATGTGTGTTTGTGTGTGTGTGTGTAACTGAAAATAGTTGAAGTTCAAAGTATTGCCTATCTTGAAGATGGCGGAGTAGCAGTGCACATCAGTTAGTATCGAGTCTCTGGGCTGACTTCGGGTCCAGTCTCTGCAGCAGCTGTCATCGCTTAGCGAAGAGTGCTTAGGGTAGTTGGCCAGGACGCCGAATATAAAAAATCTTCAGCGGCAGCTCCCACCAGGAACTTACCTCAGAAAATTGCTGACCACCTGGGCCTTGAGTTAGGCAAGGTAGTGACTAATAAATTCAGCAACCAGGAGACTTGTGTGGAAGCTGGCGAAAGTGTACCTGGAGAGGATGTCTACATCACTCAGAATGGTTGTGGCAAAATCAATGACAATTTAATGGAGCCTTTGATCATGATCAATGCCTGCAAGATTGCTTCAGCCAGCCAGGTTACTGCAGTCATCCCATGCTTCCCTTATGCCCAGAAGGATAAGAGAGATAAGAGTTGGGTGCCAATCTCAGCCAAGCTTGTTGCAAATTTGCTATCCGTAGCAGGAGCAGATCATATTATCACCATGGACCTACATGCTTCTCAAATTCAGGGCTTTTTTGATATCCCAGTGGACAATTTGTATGCAGAGCCAGGTATCCTGAAGTGGACAAGAGAATATCTCTGAGTGAAAGAATTGCACTATTGTCTCATCTGGTGCTGGTGGAGCTAAGAGAGTGACCTCCATTGCAGACAGCCTGAATGTGGGCTTTGCCTTGATTCACAAAGGCCAATAAAGTGGACCGCATGGTGCTGGTGGGAGATGTGGAGGATTAGGTGGCCACCCTTGTGGATGACATGGCTGACACTTATGGCACAATCTGCCATGCAGCTGACAAACTTCTCTCAGCTGGAGCCACCAGCGTTTATGCTATCTTGACTCATGGAATCTTCTCTGGTCCGGCTATTTCTCGCATCAACAACGCATGCTTTAAAGCAGTAGTAGTCACCAATACCATACCCCAGGAGGACAAGGTGAAGCACTGCTCCAAAAACACAGCTGATTGACATCTCTATGATCCTTGCAGAAGCCATCAAGAAAACTTGCAATGAAGAATCCGTTTCTTACCTATTCATTCATGTCCATTTATAACAGAGTAACTTCTGAGGCTTTTTAAGAATAAAATCCACCCCACCCCTTGTTTTCCCCTGGCACTGGATGACAAATACAGCAGAAGACCCAGCTTGCTCCAGTGTAGCTTTCTACATCCCATAGCAGGTATGAATAAGCTTATCCAGAATGGGAAAAGACAGATTGTGATTAACTGCTGGAACTTCCTACCTGCATTGTCTCATCCTGGCTTCCTTCATGATTTTGTGAGCCTTGCAGCTTTAACTACAGCTCAGCTGTTGCAAGATTTCAGACTTTTGAGGATGTTCTGTGGGTGTGTTTGACTGTGACTGGAGAAGCTCAGACCACTTTGCACGTGAATGCTTCACGGTTTTCTTTATCAGGAACAAGCAGCAACAAAGCCAACCCATATGTGACCAGGTCTCCCCAAGCTAAATTACAGCAAAAGGCCTGGACAACTCCAAACCTAGTCCCAGTGGCTGAGCACTCTGTAAGGCAGGAGCAGGCAGCTTGGCTTGAGCAGCCATGGGATAGGGGGTGAGTGAGGCGGGAGGTAGCGCAGTGCAGCAAATGTTTCTTGGGAGGAAGAAGCCTGATCCATCATCAGCTTGACTATGTGGCTTGGATTCTCTTTTGTACCTATTACTTTCAATTTGGCTTTACCTTTATCCCTCTTGATCCTTTCCTGGCCAAATATCCTCTTGGGCCTAAATGAACACTGTACCACAGTCTTCCGGAAAGCAAATGTGCTTCCTGATATGCAATTGCCAACATTCATATTAGATGATTTGCTGTAGCTTGATCTTCCTTAGCCTACTGCCACTGCAGCAGTAGGTTTTAGGTAATATGGTAGTACCTTTTGATCAATTTAAGTATTTAATTTTCATCTTCCTTCTTTGGATCTATTTGGCCTTTCAAATGAACTAAAATTTCCGTTGAAAAAAGACTGATGTAGGCCAGGCGCGGTGGCTCAAGCCTGTAATCCCAGCACTTTGGGAGGCCGAGGCGGGTGGATCACGAGGTCAAGAGATCGAGACCATCCTGGTCAACATGGTGAAACCCCGTCTCTACTAAAAATACAAAAAAAAAAAAAAAAAAATAGCTGGGCATGGTGGCACATGCCTGTAATCCCAGCTACTCAGGAGGCTGAGGCAAGAGAATTGCCTGAACCCAGGAGGCGGAGGTTGTGGTGAGCCAAGATCGCGCCATTGCACTCCAGCCTGGGTAACAAGAGCAAAACTCCGTCTCAAAAAAAAAAAAAAAAAGACTGATGTAGGCCAGGCGCGGTGGCTCACGCCTGTAATCCCAACACTTTGGAAGACCAAGGCAGGCGGATAACCTGAAGTCAGGAGTTCAAGACCAGCCTGGCCAACAGAGTGAAACCCTATCTCTACTAAAAATACAAATCTTAGCTGGGCATGGTGGTGCATGCCTGGGGTCCCAGCTACTTGGGAGGCTGAGGCAGGAGAACTGCTTGAACCTGGGAGGCAGAGGTTTCAGTGAGCCAAGATCATACCATTGCACTCCAGCCTGGGTGACAGAGCAAGACTCCATCTCAAAAATAGAAAAGGAACATTTATTTTATACATTATTACCAAGTGAATGATGGAGTAGGTGTTTTCCCTGTGTGATCTTATTTAACCATTAAAGACAGACATACATTAATACTTAAACTAGAAATTTAATATCCATAGCCACCATATTTTGAGTAAAGCAGACTACAAGTTTGTTATCTAGGGCCACCATAGTTCTCTATGCATCCCATTAGCAATCCACAAATTACTTTTCCAAAAATGTTGGCTTTACCTCATTTGTGACCTTTGCTCCAAAAAGCCAACCCGCTCCTCGGGGACTGATAGCCCAAGTATCCACATCTTCAGGATCTGACCAAACCAGATCACAAAATGCTCCTTTATGAGGAATTTCCTGATTCCGTTCGATGGTTCGAATTTGATCCAGTGTTTTGATATCAGGAGATAAACCACCATGGACACACAAAATCTGCTCATCTATTAACTAGCAAAAAAGGATAACAAAGAGTTGAACATATAACCTAAGGCATATCTAAATGCGTCGATGAATACTAAAGATATCAATATAACTGAGATGATAACTAGATAAAAATATGCACTGTGTTATTGGCAGGAACATACATGAGGCTTTAAAAGTAAAAACTTACAGCTGCTACAGTGAGCATGTCGAAAACTTTGGTACAGTATCTCCAGGCATTAGCGTTTCCATATTTGGTTTGGCACTCATCTGTGAAAGAAACAGAAGAGTTTTAATTAATGAATCTGCCAATAAAAATAAACAGTATACCCAATACTACAGCAGCCTTCAGTACAACAGAAATTCAGCTTAAACTAGGATAGCAAGTTATGACACACATTTAGTCCTGGCAGGACCTCCACATAGAGCCGAAAGAACACTAATGACTAACTATATATAGTTATATGTCCCTTAACCATGGGGGTACATTGTGAAAAACGCATTGTTAGGTGACTGCATCGCCGTGTGAACATGTCCTTACATAAACCTAGATGGCTAGCCTACTACACACCTAGGAAATATCACATAGCCTATTGCTCCTACGCTACAAACTTGTGCAGCATATAACAATACTAAATAACACAAGGAAACAGTAACATATTAAGTATTTGTGCAATAGGAATTTTTTTTTTTTTTTTTTTTTTTTTTGAGACAGAGTTTCGCTCGTTACCCAGGCTGGAGTGCAACGGCGCAATCTCGGCTCACTGCAACCTCCGCCTCCTGGGTTCAAGCAATTCTCCTGCCTCAGCCTCCTGAGTAGCTGGGATTACAGGCATGCGCCACCATGCCCAGCTATTTTTAATTTTTTTTCTTGGATTTTTAGTAGAGACGGGGTTTCACCATGTTGACCAGGATGGTCTCGATCTCTTGACCTCGTGATCCACCAGCCTCGACCTCCCAAAGTGCTGGGATTACAGGCTTGAGCCACCGTGGCTGGCCTGTGCAATAGGAATTTTTCAGCTCTGTTATATCTTATAGGACCACTGACGTATGTGCAGCCCATCATCAACTGAAATGTCATTATGTGGCACATGACTGTATTTCCTAAGGTGGTAGTACTGCTCTTCATTCCTGGAATGGACTAAGACGCAGCTGAAATTATTAACCAAAATGCTATAATCAGAAGAGCTAAATACTAATTTCACACAACCTGAAGCAAATGTTTTGACAGTTATGTTAGTATTAGGAAATTCTGGTAAACAAATAAATTTATTAAAGGAGACTATTCTAGCAGGATGATCAAATCAAATGAATTAGAAGACTCTTAGTTATAGGAGCATGAGCAATTTCTAACTCAACCTTCCCAGGGGTAAGTTGTCTCTTCTGAGATTTTCTGCAAATTGTGCAACTAAACACTTGAGCTTCAGTGATCATAACTAAGGACAGATTGCCAATCAGGCTCTTACAAATTCTCAGTTAAACATCCTTCTGCTGCCTACATAGTTTTGTTTTTGTGTTTGAGACAAGGTCTCACTCTGTCACCCAAGTTGGAATACAGTAGCGCAATCAGCAGTGGTGTGATCACAGCTCACTGCAACCTCAACCACCTGGGCTCAAGCGATTCTACCACTTCAGCTTTCTGAACAGCTAGAACTACAAGCATGTGCCACCACATCTGGATAATTTTATTCCCGGTAGAGATAGGAGTCTCCTAAGTTGTCCAGGCTAGTCTTGAACTCCTGAGCTCAAGCGATCCTCCCACCTCAGCCTCCCAAAGTGCTGAGATTACAGATGTGAGCCACTGTATGCTAATTGTCTACATAGTTAATAGGATACACACTTCTGTTAACACCATGGAAGCTCTGCACTTTGGCTTTTTCCATAATTTTAGGAAAAAACAAAAACCAAAAAACTGACATACTACTATTGCCTTTAAACACAGATGAAAATGCTATTGGAAAGAAGTCTGCAGGTTATGGCCAATCTTCAAGATTTTCTCGATTATATCTCTATGTGAAGCAAGATTCTTATGTGAACTTGCCATAGGAGAGCCCTAACAATGAGCTCAGGTTGCAGGCAGGGATCTTGAACTTGGTTCAATAGTAACTGCCCAGTATGTGTTTATCAGTGTGAACTGAAGGCCCACTGTAAAGTCATATAGAGATATTTTATTCCTCAAAATCAATATAAGTCCTATGATAACTAAAATTATCTTCTTCCTGAGGAGCTGTGAAGTTTCATTTTATTAAACAAAACCATAAAAACTCACTACATGAACAGAACTTTGGGAAAAAGAAAGTTCAATACTAGATTTTGTGTTGTTGTCATTTTCCTCAGTGAAGGCACCTTGATTAAAACGTCCTCCTAAGCCGGGCGCGGTGGCTCAAGCCTGTAATCCCAGCACTTTGGGAGGCCGAGGCGGGTGGATCACGAGGTCGAGAGATCGAGACCATCCTGGTCAACATAGTGAAACCCCGTCTCTACTAAAAATACAAAAAACTAGCTGGGCGTGGTGGCGCGTGCCTGTAATCCCAGCTACTTAGGAGGCTGAGGCAGGAGAATTGCCTGAGCCCAGGAGGCGGAGGTTGCGGTGAGCCGAGATCGCGCCACTGCACTCCAGCCTGGGTAACAAGAGTGAAACTCCGTCTCAAAAAAAAAAAAAAAAAAAAACGTCCTCCTTCCTCTCCCCATTTTTTCTCCTTTTGCCCTCCATTGACAAATGCTGGATGAATTCTGGGGTACAATTATATATATATAAAGTCATATATAAAAACATGTCATATATTAGTCATATATAACAATATGTATTTTATACATTATACATTATACATGTAGCATTAGTTATATGTATATGTGTGTGTGTTTAACATTAATTTTAGCATTGTTTTCACTGAGCTAACATCATAGTATGTCACCCAACATATTATTTTGCAAAATAATCCAAAAGTTTTATTTCAAATGGTGTTCATTTTGTGAATGAAAATAAAAAGGAGACAATTATCTAACTTTACAATTATTAAGTTATATAAAAACAGTAAAATATCAAAATTTATTTAATTGATAATGGCAGACAAACTGAAGAGTAGAGAGTTCAGCCTATCTTGTTTTGTTGTGTTGTGTTGTGTTTTGAGACGAAGTCTCACTCTGTAACCCAGGCTAGAGTGCAATAGCATGATCTCGGCAAACTGCAACCTCCACCTTCAGGTTCAAGCGATTCTCCTGCCTCAGCCTCCCAAGTAGCTGGGACTATAGGCAAGCGCTACCATGCCCAGCTAATTTCTGCATTTTTAGTAGAGACAGGGTTTTACCATGTTGGCCAGGATGGTCTCCATCTCCTGCCATCGTGATCCGCCTGCCTCAGCCTCCCAAAGTGCTAGGATTACAGGGGTGAGCCACTGAGCCCAGCCCAGCCTATCTTTATGACAGAAGATAATTCAAATTATAAAATTTAAAACTAAAGGGTTCTGAAATTAATGTTTCCAAATCTCTCAATATCTGCCTGAATTGTGCTCAAGGAAAATCCAAATTCATAATCTTAACAGTTATACTTCCTTCAAGGGGCTTCCTAATAAGCTCTCTCTTTTTAACTTTCAACCAAATAAAAGTTTTAGACAAGCAGTTATTTTGCTTTTTATGACTAAGTTCTGCTTCTGATACCCGAGGTCCTAGCATTCTCTGGAGTGAGCACACAGAGATATATGTAAAAGGATGCATAACAGCAGCTTAAAAACAACTCTAATGTCCCATGACAGAGGACAAACTGATACATCAATTATGGTACATCCATATGGTATATGATGCAGCCATAAAAATAACATTAATGAGGTGAAAAAAATCAGGTATGACCCCCCTTTTAGTGTGTGTTTGTATATATATAAACACAAATACATACACACACAAAAAAAATAGAAGAGAATGGACTCTCAAATTTGTGCAGAACATTCACCTTCAGCAGATTCTAGATTCCCACTCCAAAATATTTCAATTAGTAAATCTTTGGTTAGGCCCAGCAATCTACTTTTTTTTTTTGAGACAGAGTCTCGCTCTGTCACCAGGCTAGAGTTTGGCGGAACGATCCCAGCTCACTGCAATTTCTATCTCCTGGTTCAAGTGATTCTCCTGCTTCAGCCTCCCGAGCAGCTGGGATTACAGGCACGCACCACCACACCCAGCTAATTTTTGTATTTTTAGAAAAGATGGGGTTTCACCACGTTGGCCAGGATGGTCTCAATCTCCTGGTCTGATGATCCACCTGCCTCGGCCTCCCAAAGTGCTGGGATTACAGGTGTGGGCCACCACGCCCAGCCCACAATCTACATTTTTAATGAGAATCCAGGTGATTACAACAAGGTAAACTAAGTACTATACTTTGAGGCACAGATCTAGAAAGACGCACAACAAAAAGTTAACAGTGGTCTTCTCTCCAGCATAAGATTTTCAATTAGTTGGGAGGAGCAGAGGAGTAAAGGAGTGAGGACATATGGAAAATAATACACAAAAAGCGTGTATGACGTGTAGCTTTGTTTTCCAAAGAGGAAAGTAAGATAATATTCAGAATCAGAAAAATAGAAGGTCTTACCATAAAATCCATACACCTGTGTTATCTGTCTACTCTCATGATTTCCTCGCAAAAGTGTAATACGATCAGGCCATTTAGCCTTTAATGCAAGAAGGTAAGTGAAGGTCTCCAAACTATAGTAACCTCTGTCTACAAAATCACCCTGTAAAGTAAAAGTTTACAGTTACAAACAATATAAGAGCCACAATATTCTTTTCCAATTATATCAAATTGCACAAATTCATAGACTGAGCCCAGAATAACTACAATAGTTACATACTGAATCATTTGAAAATCTGGTTTTAACAAAAAATTTAAATAGAAGTAAACAAACTATTTCTACCAAATGTTCATAGAAAGAAGATTTTTTATTCTGGGAAAACCTACAATAATCTGCCGTGCCATTCTCTCAAGAATGTTACCTGATAAAAACACCGTTTTTTTCAATCCTCTATTACCTTGCATTTGTTGATCTGGTCATCTGTGAACCAGCATTTTTAAAGTAATTAAATTTTTTTAAATTCAATCTTTTTTTTTTCTTAAGAGACCGGGTCTCACTATGTGCCCAGGTTGGTCTAGAACTCCTGAACTTAAACAATCCTCCCACCTCAGCCTCCCAAGTAGCTGGGACTACAAGTGTGCACCATTGTGTCCAGCTAAAATCATTTTCTATTTTAAGGATCATTTTAACTGTATCAGAAGAGCTACCTACTTGAAGAAAAAAAAAATTGGGGGCCGGGTGTAGTGGCTCATGCCTGTAATCCAAGCACTTTGGAGGCCAAGGCGGGTGGATCACCTGAGGCCAGGAGTTCAAGACCAGCCTGACCAACATGGTGAAACCCCATCAATATTTAAAAAAAAAAAAAGTTTAAAAAAAAAATTTTTGTTTTGTAAAAGCAAATACCATAATTATGATAGCGTTCTAGGTTCACTTTTGCATTTAACAACCATATATGATAATATATTATTTACACTTCCCATTAATGTCTGACTTGGGCCAATATTACACTAATAAGAAAACACCTGGGCCGGGCGCGGTGGCTCAAGCCTGTAATCCCAGCACTTTGGGAGGCCGAGGCAGGTGGATCACAAGGTCGAGAGATCGAGACCATCCTGGTCAACATGGTGAAACCCCGTCTCTACTAAAAATACAAAAAATTAGCTGGGCATGGTGGTGTGTGCCTGTAATCCCAGCTACTCAGGAGGCTGCGGCAGGAGAATTGCTTGAACCCAGGAGGCGGAGGTTGTGGTGAGCCGAGATTGCGCCATTGCACTCCAGCCTGGGTAACAAGAGCGTAACTCCGTCTCAAAAAAAAAAAAAAAAAAAAAAAAAAAACACCTGAAAGAATAGGAAAGTGGCTGGGCGCAGTGGCTCATGCCTGTAATCCCACCATTTTGGGAGGCCAAGGCAGGCAGATCATGAGGTCAAGAGATCAAGAGCATCTTGGCCAACATGGTAAAACCCTATCTCAAATAAAATACAAAAATTAGCTGGGTGGAGTGGTATCAGCTACTTGGGAGGCTGAGGCAGGAGAATCATTTGAACCTGTGAGGCAGAGGTTGCAGTGAGCTGAGATGCTGCCACTGCACTCCAGCCTGGCAACAGAGCAAGACTCTGTCTCAAAAAAAAAAAAGGAAAGTGACACAGAAACTTTCAGAAGGAAAGATAATGAGAGAAAGATCCAGAAAAAGTTCAACAGTAACATTACATTGCAAAAGAAAAGCAAACAAATACATTAATAGCAAATGTGTATGTGTGTATATTTATCCATCGATAGATTAGTAAGAGATAAAAATGAATGCCAGGATGGTCTCGATCTCTTGACCTCGTGATCCACCCGCCTCGGCCTCCCAAAGCGCTGGGATTACAGGCTTGAGCCACCGCGCCCGGGAAAAAGTTTCAATAAGTAACACTCAATTGAAGATTTATGCCTTAAACCAGGGGTTCTGAGTTATTTTTATGCCCAACCATTACTGACAGCTACAACCCAACTCTATCTGCAGTGGCTTACTAAAGCAATATTAGAGGACACAGTTAAATGTGGGAAAGTATACAATCACCTTGATAAGGTTTGGCTGTGTCCCCACCCAAATCTCATCTTGAATTCCCACACGTTTTGGGAGGGACTCAGTGGGAAGTAACTGAATCATGGGGGAAGTCTTTCCTGTGCTATTCTCCTAATAGTAAGTCTCACAAGATCTGATGGCCTCAAAAACAGGAGTTTCCCTGCAGTCTCTCTCTCTCTGCTTGCCACCATCCATGTAAGATGTGACTTGCTCCTCCTTGATTTATGCATGATTGTGAGGCCTCTCCAGCCATGTGAAAATTTAAGTCCATTAAACCCCTTTCTTTCATAAACCACCCAGTCTCTAGTATGTCTTTATCAGCAGCATGAAAACAGACTAAACACACCTTTTCATATACTGAAATAGCGACTGTCATATGGTATAAATTATTATGCAATTTACATTTCATAAGTCAGATCCTTTCCATTTAAAACAAGCACTTAAAAAAAAGAAAAAGCACTTGATATTACTGTTGTTTACATACCATAAATATGTAGTTTGTGTCAGGAACCTGACCTCCAGTTCTGAATAGTTCACAAAGGTCATAAAACTATAAAAGAAATGCAATATACGCTGATTACAAATTCCTGTTAAGGAGCAAAATAACAAAACTGAGAGTGAAATGTGTAAAGAAGCAGTTAATTAAAAGAACTCCAAATATTTACATTTTTAAGAAATAAAGTGTAAGCCAAACTGCCAAGTACACAGTCCTCAGGCCTAAAAAAAAAAAGCACTAAATAAAGCTCACAGTTACCATAAAGTCTCTTCATAGGCTTCCCTTTCTCATTTTTTCTTTCTTTTTTTTTTGAGATGGAGGTTCGCTCTTCTTACCCAGGCTGTAGCACAATGGCGCAATCTCGGCTCACCACAACCTCCACCTCCTGAGTTCAGGCAATTCTCCTGCCTCAGCCTCCTGAGTAGCTGGGATTACAGGCACACACCACCATACCCAGCTAATTTTTTTTTTTTTTTTTGTATTTTTAGTAGAGACGGGGTTTCACCATGTTGACCAGGATGGTCTTGATCTCTTGACCTCATGATCCACCCGCCTCAGCCTCCCAAAGTGCTGGGATTACAGGAGTGAGCCATCACGCCTGACCTCATTTTCTCTCATATATCTTGCCATCTATCTCTTGAGAATTCTGACATCCTTTACTAGTTGTCTAATTTCTCAATAAGCTAATCTAACAGCCCACCCAAATTCTGTATTTTAATGAGACAAAAGATAAGGAAACCAGTGGATACCTCTTTTTCTTCAAAAATGAACTTACATAACACTTCACAGTGTCATACAGAGATCTTCCCACATTCTGCAGTTAGAGTTGCATACTCTCAGGCTCCACAGCCATGAAGTGTCTTCTCAACAATCGGTCTTTTTTTTTTAATTATATATTTAATCATATTCTGGGTTTTTTGTTTTGTTTTGTTGTTGTTGTTTAAGACAGGGTCTGGCTCTGTCACCCAGGTTGGAGTACAGTGGTGCAGTCATAACTCACTACAGTCTCAAATTCCTGTGTTCAAGCAATCCTCCTACCTTGGCCTCCTCAGTAGCTAGGACCACAGTTACACACCACCATGCCCAGCAAATTTTTATAGAGACAGGGTCTCACTATTTTGCCCAGGCTGGTCTCAAACTACTGGCTTGTCTCAAACTACTGGCTTCAGGCAATCCTCCCATCTCAGTCTCCCAAAGTGCTGGGATTACAAGTGTGTCAGCCATGACACCCAGTCATATTTCATATTTCTATTTGACTGAAATGCCATTAAATGGCAAATTGTGCATTTGGCAAATTTCAGTCAACTAGATTATCCTAGTCCTAATTTCCAAAGAAAGCATTACAGTTTTTCTGAGGGAAAAAAAATGATTTTGAATTAAGAGAATTGGCTACAATACATTGGACCAAGGCCGGGCGCGGTGGCTCAAGCCTGTAATCCCAGCACTTTGGGAGGCTGAGGCAGGTGGATCACGAGGTCAAGAGATCGAGACCATCCTGGTCAACATGGTGAAACCCCGTCTCTACTAAAAATACAAAAAATTAGCTGGGCATGGTGGCACGTGCCTGTAATCCCAGCTACTCAGGAGGCTGAGGCAGGAGAATTGCTTGAACCCAGGAGGCGGAGGTTGTGGTGAGCCGAGATCGCGCCATTGCACTCCAGCCTGGGTAACAAGAGTGAAACTCTGTCTCAAAAAAAAAAAAAAAAAAAAATACCTTGGACCAACTACAACTAACAACTTCTAACACATTCATCTTTTACACTTGAAACAAAATTATCCTTTAAACTTCGAACACTTAAATAATATAGGAATATTAGTCAAAGTAAAGAAAACTGAAAGTTAAATGTTAACTACCAAAAGAAAGAAAGTAACATTTATGGAACATTATGGAACATTTATAACAATGTTCCATATGTCTAAAAAGTCAGACAATTAAAAATAAAAAATTTTAGGAAGTTTAATATAAAATGTATCTATCTTTTTAAAAGTAACTAACAGGCCAGGCTGCTCACGCCTATAATCCCAGTACTTTGGGAGGCCGAGGTGAGTGGATCATTTGAGGTCAGGCGTTCAAGAACAGCTTAGTGAAAATGGTGAAACCCCATCTCTACTAAAAATACAAAAATTACCTGGGCATAGTGACCTGCACCTGTAGTCCCAGCCACTTGGGAGGCTGAGGCACAAGAACTGCCTGAGCCTGGGAGGCAGAGGTTGCAGTGAGCCAAGATTGTACCACAGCACTTCAGCCTGGGTAACACAGGGAGACCCCATCTCAAAAATATATATATAAATTAAAATTAACTAACAAATAAATGAAAAAAACAGTTTGATTTCAGTTGAGCAGTATATCATTACTTGTTCAAAGTATTTGCCGCCCTTTTCTATTATGCGGGGTCCCTCTCTCAAATGAGTATACTTCCCACTCCACAGAGGTATATATGGGTTTTGTGTAACTTTTATCATCTATATGTAAATAGTATGAGCAGTAGGAAAAAAAAAACACATATGTATACCTTTCCATAATATGTAGTTATAACCTTCTTAGAAAGTAATCTCTTAACACATTTCAAACTTAGTAAAATGTTTATAAACTCTGGCCTAGTCCACTTCTGTGACCGTATCCTAAAGGGAAAACAAAAATCAAATGCTATATAAACATTAAAAAAATGTGTTAGCCGGGCGCTGTGGCTCACGCCTGTAATCCCAGCTCTTAGAGAGGCAGAGGCAGGAAGATAGCTTGAGCCCAGGAGTTCGAGACCTGCCTGGGAAATATAGTGAGACCCCCCTACTCCACGAAAAGGAAAAAAAAAAGAGCAAAAAAAAAAAAAAGAATGTGTTAAGGCCAGGTGTGGTGGCTCTCGCCTGTAATCCTAGCACTTTGGGAGGCTGAGACAGGTGGATCACTTGAGATCAGGAGTTCGAAACCAGCCTGGCCAACATAGTGAAACCTCGTCTCTACTAAAAATATAAAAAATCAGTCGGACTTGGTGGCAGGCACCTATAATCCCAGCTACTCCAGAGGCTGAGACAAGAGAATTGCTTGAACCCAGGAGGCAGAGGTTGCAATAAGCCAAGATTATACCACTGCACTCCAGCCTGGGCAAGAGTAAGACTCCATCCATCCATCTATCCATCCATCCATCAGTCAGTCAATGTTATGGGCAGGGCACAGTGGCTCATGCTTGTAATCCCAGCATTTTGAGAGGCTGAGGCAGGTGAATCACCTGAAGTCAGGAGGTTGAGACCAGCCAGGTCCAACATGGCAAAACCCCATTTCTAGTAAAAATACAAAAATTAGCCGGGCATGGTGGTAGGCACCTGTAATCAATCTCTGCTACTCTGGAGGCTGAGGCAAGAGAATCACTTGAACCTGGGAGGCAGAGGTTGCAGTGAGCCAAGAATGTACCACTACACTCCAGCTTGGATCACAAAGCAAGACTCCATCTCAAAATAAATAAATAAATAAATAAACAAACAAACAAATAAATAAATAAATGTGAGCCAGGCCCAGTGGCTCACACCTACAATCCCAGCACTTTCAGAGGCCAAGGTAGGTGGATCACCTAAGGTCAGAAGTTCAAGACCAGCCTGGCCAACGTGGTGAAACCCCGTCTCTACTAAAAATATAAAAATCAGCCAGGCACGGTGGCAGATGCCTTGTAGTCCCAGCTACTCAGGAGGCTAAGGCAGGAGAGTCACTTGAACCTGGCAGGTGGAAGTTGCAGTGAGCTAGGATGGTGTCCTTGCACTCCGGCCTGAGTGACAGAGCAACACTCTGTCTCCAAAAAAAAAAAAAAAAAAGGAAGAAAGAAAAAAAGAGTGTTATAACAACATCTAAAATATCAAAAGAAACAGCCTTCATGACTAACATAAATGAATATCTTTTTTTGTTTGTTTGTGACATGGAGTCTCACTCTGTCACCCAGGCTGGAGTAAGTCTCGGGATCTCAGCTTACTGCAACCTCTGCCTCCCAGCTTCAAGCAATTCTCTTGTCTCAGCCTCCCAAGGGGCTGGGATTACAGGCCCGTGCCACCACACCCAGCTAATTTTTGTATTTTTAGTAGAGATGGGGTTTCATCATGGTGGTCAGGGTGATCTCGAACTCCTGACCTCGTGATCCGCCCACCTCAGCCTCCCAAAGTGCTAGGATTACAGGTGTGAGCCACAGTGCCCAGTCTAGTGAATATCATAAAATGTAGCAACTCAAGGACCTTACGAGGCCATGAATAATAATGATGATGAAAACCATGTAGCAAAATGCAAAAATCCTTAGGAAAAAGAATGGAACACAAAACTTTATATATAACATAACTATACAATTCTATTATGTAAAAAATTGAGTATGTATATACACAAAGTCAGGAAGTGAACATTAAAAAGTTAAGTCAGGCCAGGCGCGGTGGCTCAAGCCTGTAATCCCAGCACTTTGGGAGGCCGAGGTGGGTGGATCACGAGGTCAAGACATCGAGACCATCCTGGTCAACATGGTGAAACCCGGTCTCTACTAAAAATACAAAAAAATTAGCTGGGCATGGTGGCGCATGCCTGTAATCCCAGCTACTCAGGAGGCTGAGGCAGGAGAATTGCCTGAACCCAGGAGGCAGAGGTTGCGGTGAGCCGAGATCACGCCATTGCTGGGTAACAAGAGCGAAACTCTGTCTCAAAAAAAAAAAAAAAAAAAGTTTTATAAGTCAATTGTTTTATAAAAATATGGTAGAAGGCTGGGCACGATGGTTCATGCCTGTAATCCCAGCACTTTGAGAGGCCAAGGCAGGCGGATCACTTGAGGTCAGGAGTTTGAGACTAGCCTGACCAACATAGAGAAACCCCGTCTCTACTAAAAATACAAAAAATTTAGCCAGTGTAAAGGCGCATGCCTGTAATCCCAGCTACTCAGGAGACTGAGGCAGGAGAATTGCTTGAACCTGGGAGGTGGAGGTGGAGGTGAGCCGAGATCGTACCATTGCACTCCAGCCTGGGCAATAAGAGTGAAACTCTGTCTAAAAAAAAATATATGGTAGAAGAGTGAGTATCCTTAAACTTTTCTATTGAC